AGGAAACAGTTTAGCCCCTGTCCAATCAGCTAACTTGGAGGAAGCAGGGTTTATGGTCTTTACTGCAGCCAGCCACCAGGGGGCAAAGGAGACGCTTTGGCTTCACGTCGGCCATCTTTACATACAGTCTGTGGTGTATACACATGATTTTTTAATCTCACCCTGGTTCCGCCTGTCGATCATCACTGTCCACTTATCTCTGAATAATCTGAAGGGCAGGATTTTGTCTGATGTACTTAATCTCTACGTTAAACCAGGTTAATTGGTATTTTCACGATAATCTCCAGTGTTTAAACACGATGCGTTGTTATAATGTCTACGTTGGGATTTGGGTGAACCCTTAAAGATAAACTGGGATGTTGCTCCAAGCTTCAGGTTTGATTTCACTTTCCTCTTGAATGTGTGAGGAAGGGAGCGAAGTGCATATGTGAGTGGTGATGCAGTCAGACGCAATCGCTGCACTCAGGTGCTGCAGGATTATATCAATACCCTCCGCTTCATAAAAAAACATTTGGGCATTTTAGCCTAAGTGTGTGTAGAGCGAGGGAAATGGGATATTTTGAGTGGAACTGGTGAAATGGATTCATAAGCAAATCAAAAACAAAAACAAGCAGATGTGTTGTCAGTGCACTTCCCCTGTTACTTGTGCTTATATATCAAACCACTCCACTTCCTAAAGCGGTTTTATTTATCGCTTCCTTTCTCTCTGAACTCCTACACCTACCCGCTCGACTTTTATTTCCACATCGAAGGCCTTCCCTGGCCAAGGTTGGTGTTGGTCCTCTTAACATATTTCTTTTCTATTTTGACCATCTGTCTCATTTACACAAACAGTTCCGCTCCTCTCTCCTCTCAGTGATCTGTCTCTCGCTTTGACGAATAAAGTTTTTTTTTTTTTACTCATCTCCATCTGCCAAAATACCTATGATTAAAGATCCTTACATAAATTAAACTGTCTATCAGGGGGTTTTAAATGTCATTTTCTTTTTTCAAGAAACAAATTCAATGCCATTTATCCTCCGTGCTGTGAATGTGTCAGTGAAGCTCCACGACTTTAGGGACGCTGCGCCAAAGACAACATTCCTCAAAGTACCCAGGTTAGCTGTTTAGCATGCTGCGCTCAGGATGTCATTACTCTGTGATGATACTATTAAACACAACAGTAATTAGACAGTCATGCATATTTACTTTTTGCCATCCACTTCAGTATTGCAGGGATATTATTTTCTGTCTCTTTTGCAAACATCAAACCCTCAGTTGAATTTTTAATGATTAAAAAACGAGGAGAAAGAAGGTGGGGGCGTGGTTGCTAACCCCCCAGGAAACTGATCCGACCTCATGAATGAGCGCTGCATAGAGAGATCCTTCTAAATGAGGCTGTGTTCTGTGTTGACTGGTCAGTGCAGCCCCACGGGAGACCATGACTCTTCCCCTACCAGACAGAGACTATGACAGATCTTTATTGTAATTGGCCTTGGAGGTAATAAGCAACGCTCATCACCCCATCGGCCTCCCACCGAGCTCCCATTCCCATTATCCCCTGCTCGTTCCGATTCATTAAACCTCCAGTGAGATCGGTCAGAGCGGTGGAGGAGAGGTTGGAGCATTCATTTTGGTTGAAGAAGATCCATGTTCCTCCGATGCCTCTCCTTAAATGGGCACTAATTGACAGAGAAATGTTAATGGTGTGAGAAATGTTTGATAAATAGCGGCGAGCCCTTCATCAAATTACCAGACCTGCTTCGTCTTCAGCTTTTTCAGGGAGATCAAGCCCACGCTGCCCTGAAGTAATTTATTAGAGGAGCTTAATGCATCCAGTGTTACCCTCAAGTTATCGCTGGGGTCAGCTGTGCATCAGTGCATCAGATGCTTGTGTTTGTGAGGAGATGGCGGATTTCACAGATCTTTCCAAAGCACTCAAGAGTCTTCCCCGAAGGCCGATCTTCCTCTCCGAGTTCTGACCTCTGTCTTTCCACCCGGGGCGGCCAATGGGCAATTTGTTTGATATAATTTTCCTTTCGCAGGCTATCGCCATGTTTGAGTGTGTGTGTGTGTGGGATTGTGATCTCACTTTATCTCAGGTAAAATCCTCCCCAGCAATCGCAGGTGAAGGTCTGAGCTGTTGATTGGTGCTTTGGTCCGATCTTGTCTCTCATGATTTCAAACACTGATGCTCTTTGTTGTTCAGAGATGCCTCCCCTCCCCTCCTCCCTTCTCCTCCTCTATGTTGCTCCTCTCAAGACCTGGAAAGATGCAGCAGGGACTTTTACCGTTGAGTGTCTCTTTTATTTTGTTGATAGACATAACATGAAAGCTGGATCTTGTTGTCAGGCCTGCAGAAGAGCATTGAATGAGAATCATACTTTGATGGAAGGTGGATCAGTGTCCATGTTGGAAATAGTGAGAAAGGCAAGAAGAGGTTTTTACGCAGAAATGGAATAAATATGAATAAATAATTCGACTGACTATGACCTTGCTCAGGTGATGAGAAAATGCTGTTTACATGACAGGGTCTAAGTCAGACTAATGTTTCAATGAGAATATTTTATTTAATCCCTTAGTCAACCATTTATCAGCCAATGGTTTCCACTGTTTTTCTTAAATGGAAACGCATTAACATAATATTGAAATGCAATAACAGCCATTAAATTCGTGCAGAAATGAGCTGAAAACAGCGTCTGCCAGGGAAACTGAGGAAAACTGGTTCAGAATCTACATCATTTGAAGTTCGAGTGGATAAAACTGGCTGCAGTGTATTTTTTCTCTCCAGGTAAAGTTAGTTGTCCAGCTCAGTTAAACGTGCTAATTTGGATCCTCAGGGCAAAAGTGTGAATAACTCGGAATAATTGCTGTGGGCTGAAAATAACTCGTCATTATCACCAGTTATGTGGTTGATTCTAGAGCCAGACAGAGAAAGAGTGCGTCTCTGACTTAAGTGGATGCAGCTTGCAGTGAGCAGCTTCAGCACCTGCGATCACAGCTCTTGCTCAACATCGCCATGACTTAACACCTGGCAGCACACAAAACAAATATCTTTGCCACTTGTGTGCAGGACGCAAACATTCCGTGTCCAGGGATTTTCTAAATGACCCTTTTGCTGAGTTCAGGCACAGTAAGTACTGTGAATAATCATAATCAGGTCCCCGAGCAGCACCGGAGGAGGCTGAGGATGCACTCCGTCTTGGTTTTTCCTGATGTTAACTCTCCCATTATTTACTTTTGTTCAAGGTACCTAATTTTTGGGGGGGGTTAAGAAGTGGAGGGGGAAAGCCAACAGGAGGCTGAAAGTCATGCTGAGAAACAACAGAAGCTATTACTGTGGTGCATTATCTCCTCGCTGCCCTGTGGTGGCTTAGATGGGACTCGCCGTCTGCAAAAAAACACATTACACACATTAAGCACTCCTGCTTTCTTCTGGCAAAGGCGCTGTCATTTTCCAGACAGGAACATTTGCTCAGTCATGCTCTCCCATTCTCTCCCTCTGCCCCTACTTCACTGATACTGTCATTTTGGAAACAGTATTTGCTCAGTCACTCTCTATCACCCCACCCTCTCTCATCCTCTTGTACTCTTCCTCCTTCTGTCCTCCACTCATCCATTTCTCACCCTCTCCTCCACCTTCCTCCTCCTCTCTTTTTCTCCCACACATACAAGATAACATGCAGCCGCTTCACTCCTGGCTGTGTAAAGACTTAGCACAGCCATTTGTGCCTCCCCCCCCTCTATCTGTCTCATGCACCTCCAAACCCCACCACAGCCTCAACTAGAAAGAACCCTCTGGGGTGTATCATTCCTGAAAGTATTAAAATGCAGCCAAAGTATAAATCCCTATAATGATGCCACAGGGGATAAAAAAGTACTAGAAGGTCAATGAACTCAGACACATTATAAATCCCCACAGAAATAGCTATTGCAACGATTTCTCCTCTGGCTCCCCGCGCTCGACTCCGCTCCAAACCCTTGGCACAACGAGCAGAGCACGTGTCCAGTAAATCATTTTAACAAAGGACAATATTCATTCCACCTTTTTGTGATGTGGAAAGCAATAATAAATCCTCTCCTGTAAACCTGGCGCTTGGTTGTGATGTAGTAGTGGAAGAGGGGAGTGCGTTTTTGCGCATGGCCGCACGGTGGCAACCTGCGCTGCGCTGCCGGTGCACCATATCGTCATGTTTCCTCATAAAGAACCCGGGACTCGTCCTCATCCGACGCACACCGGCAACGCGGGATCCACTCAGACCGTGACGGTGTGACTGCGCGAAACTTTCCCCGCATCCTCTGCTCTCCAAGCCGCTGAACTCCCCCCCCCCCCTCCCGGTGCTCCTATCCAACTGGATCTCCGACCTTGGCAGCGCGGAGGAACTTTACTGGGTAACAGGGGGTGTGTGGATGCGTGTGTGAGTGCGGCGTTATCCGTGGCGCTCCTCTTCCAGCAAGGATTCGAGGAAAAAATAAAAGTCTGTTGCCGCTCGTTGCGCATGCAGCGACAGGGAGGCTGAAGTTTGAAGAGGAGGGGGGAGGAGAGAAAACGCAGCATCTCAAGGACGCAGGAGGAAGAGTCGATGGAAAAGTATGAGTAGCCGCTCGTCGTCTTACAGGTGCACCGAGAGACCGGAGACTGGATTTGGACTTAGCCTGGATTCATCTGACTGAGCTGCGTTCAGAAGCCACCTCACGCTGCTCCGACTCTTGGAGGAAAATACCCTCGTGTCTCATGGAGCTCATGGAACTGGAATGCTGTTGAGCAAACACAGAGTTTGAATCTGTCTGGTCGCGTCAGGCTGCTTGTTTTATTTCATTTTGTTTGCGCTCTGAGGTCGGTGCGCTCTGCCCGGCGCGAGTGGCACGTTTCCCCCCCCGACAAGAGAGACCCAGCAGGAGGCGTTCGGCGGCAGAACCACACGGGAACTCGGGGGCGCATCAGCGGCAGAGTGCCTCAGGCTCACCGGGCACTTGTTGTCCACCCTGCACGGTTTGGAACCATGTTTGGGGACCAGTGGAGCGGATCGATGCGGCGCGCCACATGGATTTTATTTCTTTCCTTCCTCGTCCACTTTACGCAAGCACAAGGTAAGAACCACACCGGCTCCACACGGGGCCCGCTGATGTGTTAAACTTCCCCCCACAGTGCTCATGTGAAAGCGATGTTATCATTTCTCCTTCGCTCGTAGCCTTTGATTCTGTCATCAGGGCCACACACCTCACTGAGACTTTTCCCTCCACCTGAACTTTATTAAGTCTGAGCTTCTGCAGCCTCGTATATCATGTGTCTCTGGGTTTTAATGAAGTTTATTTAGAAAACTCGATCTTTTCCAGCGGTTCCCTTTCCATTTAGAAACCACTAGAGTCGACATATGCATCGAATGTGTCATTAGAAGCCCAGCTGTTTAAAAAAGGTTAAGCTGATTAATGAATACTAATTAGACCATCAAGCATCTCCCCCCGGAAATTAAACTTTGCGCACCAAACAGGCGCCGCAAATAAACATATACATATTGATATGCAGCAATTAATGCCCGCGTGGAGAATTAAATGTTGGGAATTAATTGGTTCTGGGAGAATTATGCAGCCAGTTTTCCCCTGTGCACGAGCCACAGTGGTGTGTTTGCAGGGACAGTGTGTGAGTGAGGACTCCAGACTGAGCCAGACTCCAAGTGATATTCCTGTGGAGACCTAGAGTGTGTCACTGGTGTCCAGCAGGGGAGTCTACTACTGTAACCTCAGGCCAATCACATCCCAGAGGGACACTGATATATTTGTTCAAGAGTCTTTCAGAAAAGATGCTGTTCCACTGCTGACAGTTGGAGAAAAGACCGTTTCTCAAAGTTCATCACTGTCACTGTGATCCAGGTGAAGGTACTGTGTGTGCTGCAGGGGGATCCTCAGAAAGCTTAATCACTGCTTCTATTGAAAATGATTGAAGAGATGAAGCTCTCGATGGAACCGTGTCCTCTCCTCTTCTGCTCTTCTTTGACATATTTAACTCTGAAAACCTCCAAATTAAACACATTCCCCTTCTTTTAATGGCACTGATACTTGACCCGCAACGCGTCTGCTTAAAGAAACCAAACAATCCCGCTCGTTGCTTTCCTCTGCTGCTCCCTCTCTTCTCGGGTAATTGGGATTCAGGTATTGATGCCACAGTAAGGAGGGAGTATTACCTCTCAAGATAGACTCTAAGCCCTCGGTGGCGCTCACTCAATAATACAATGTAGAGAAGATGAAAAAAACAAACAAGGCAGATATCCATCATTCATGAGGGCACATCCTGGTGCCTGACATTTACAGGAGATTGATAACTTAAATGTCCCCGGGATTAAGAATCCTGACATTGTCGCTTCCCCTCGCTGTAACTGTATCTCTCCCTCCTCCGTCTGGGAGCCTGGTTCCAGTCCTCTCACCTTCCTCTTGAATGCCTATTTAACCAACCAAGTTCAATAAGAAGCCATCATGCACAGCAGTGGCCTGGTAGTAAGCTTCAACAGTTTTTTTGTGGGGGGGGGGGGTGCACAAAGCAGCGATATGAACACACGTGACTGTGCATGTGAGGAAGTTGAAAGCCGGTCAATCTTTATGCTGAATCCATGCGGCAGTGGCCCTCAGATTCCATTACATCGCCGCTCATGGGTCAGAAAATGTAGGATTTAATTGGACTCTCTTCAGACCGCTGTGAGTGCGGCTGGTTGAAAGTGACCCCAGTGATGGCTGCTCTCTTCCCGTACGATGATTAAAAAACACGATGAGGGGAGTAGCGTGCCTCCGGATGGACATGTCAGACCGTTGCTCGCCACATTTTAATGACCAGTCTACTGAAACGGCTTTTTAATGACAGGAGAAGGGCCTTCATCAGACCACAGCGGCCTCGCTAAGCATAGAGACATCATCTTCAGTTCTGTATGTTGTCGGTCCTCGGGTTTTGCAGCATGAAAATAAAACCCAGTAAAGCACCTGAAACTCCAGAGCACTTGAAATATTTGTTAGCTCGCACTAAAGTACACTTGTGGTTCCTCCTTGGATCACATAAAAACACCAGGTCGTTCTCTGAACTCACCCAGAATATTTTAGCTCAAAGTGACAGTTATAGGAGCAGTCTGGCCTGTCCCACTGTTCGCTTCCATTCATTTAGCGAGGTCATGCCGAGACAATGCTGGGCATGCCTGCTGCTTTTGTCAGTTCTAACACGTCTATTTTGGAGCTCGGAGCGGTGGGGGAGGACTTTATTGGAATGTCATGTTTGGCATAAATACTTCGGCATCACTCAACGTCTGCAGATTAGCCTGACTGGCTACAGCTCAACTTTAGCTGCTTCAGAGGGAGTTGAGGACTTCATTCTGACAGAGGCGTAGCACTCAGATTAACATCCGCGAGGACGGTTCTGACAGTGTGTGTGTGTGTGTGTGTGTGTGGGTCTTCAGGGACACGTGGGAATCGGCTATTTCATGGTTTTGTCTGGCGAGGACACACAACATGTTAGAAGAAGAGGGGCTAAAGAGCGGCGGTCTGTTTTTAGCTCGCCGCACTGGACGTGGACCTTGACATAGTAATAGAAGTCAAGGATGCCATCTCCATTTTAAATCCGTCAGGAGATTGGATTGGATTTGTATGTCTGCAGTGACATGCTTGCACTTGAGCAGCACCTCTTGACTCTGGAATAATTTAAAATTGGACGCATTCTTATCACAGGCGACAAAATGGGGCACACGATGATGGTACTGGTAGCAACAGACTCAACATTAGACCGTTGCGATTTCAGGGGTTTCTTCTTCTGTTGTGCCGTCAACGCATCGTGTTTGTGCATGTGTGGGCACGTGCACCTTGAGAAGCCAATCCCATGGTGGTGTGACGCAGAGGGCAGATATCTGAGGCAGCGCTGTGCATTCACAAGCTCTTTGGAAGGTATCATTTCCAGAGAAGTTTTATTGTGTTGTATTTGTGTGTTTAGAGGATTTAAACCACACCTTTTACCAATATTTGGATGAAAGAGGATCCGATGAGTAATTTAAATTATATGCACAAGTTAAAAATGGTATTAGGTACTCGTGAGAAATGGACGTGCAGTTTGAGAACATTTTCACAAGTTCACAGTAAAAGCTACTGTTCAGATTTCTGAATCAGTAATACAGGATTATTGATCCTGTGTCTGTTATCCTTCAAAGCCACCTCCGGTCTCTTGATATGAGTCGCTCTCATTCATCTGCAGGCACAAGTGTTCTCTTTAGGATAATTTGAAATTGACGTGATGGATTAGGCCGGAGCTGGGGAGAAGGAAGCCATAGAGAAAGAAGCTGATTGAGATTGGACTGTGAGTGATTCATGGAGACAGAAGACTTGAGAGAATATCTGCAGACTACAAATGCCCTGATTTGTCACTCATCTTAATTGACAGAGCAGGGATCTCTGTTGTAGCAGCTGCGCTCCGTGAAACAATTTGCAAGAATGAAATAAGACGGAACAAAAACTGAGGCTGTCAAACTTCCCTGCGGCCGGCACTTTGGCAAAAGGTCACAACGTATCGCTCTTAGTATTCTGGGTTAGCGGGGGAGAAAGCTCACGGTCAAAGTCCACTGATAGATTTCTCAGAGGGATCCAGAGAGTTTCACTGTGAAATAAAACAAAACTTCCCTTCCAAGGTCTCCAGTCGTGGCGAGTGCAGGAGAGAGGCGTAACTGAAAGAGCGTTTGTGTTTTTGTTGTTTGAAAGAAAGAACTTCCAGATCTCTTCAGAGTGGGGCTGCTTTTATTTCCAGTCCATTGCAGAGGTTGAGGGTGTTTCATAGTGTCGCACTCTGTGTGTGTTTGTGTTTCTCTCCTCTCCGCACGCCTGCTTTGAAATTTTAAATGAAAGGACGAGCATGATCTATATTAAATGCATCGTAAAGGAACGCAGCTCACATGGGAGACAACGACTGCGTTAAAGCACATCTTTATAACAATGGTGACACAGGCAGATCCTCTGCGACACACTTAGAGACACAAATATGCAAGCACATGGACTTAGCTCTTGTACTACACTTTAGTTAGCACAGCCGTGGCCCCTGGCGAACCCGCAGGATGATTGGAAGGGATTTAAAACACCCCACCAGTAAACTTCTTAGCTATTAATGGCTATAAACAGCTCAGCAGTTTTCACACTCCTCCTCCAGGTTATACCCCCCTCCCCTCCCAGAAAACCCCCTGAAGAGACCTTAACGTATGCATCACTCCACTTGGAGAGCGGCATCATTCTTTATGTTCTCTGAAAGACTGCGTCTGTGTAACTTGGTCGACTTCAGTGTTTTCCTTTCTCTAACCATTACTAACATTAGGTTTCACCATATTATGTTGTTTAAACATAAGCAAAGCATTGTATCTACAATACATGAAATCAAACCAATTCTCTCAGTAAACCTGAAAAAAGCAAAGTGTTAGCATTATGGAGGGCTGTTACTACAACTGCTATAGGATAATACATGTCTGCTTATATATATATATATAGCACATTCATATAAAGGTATTTATTTCTTTAAGTTAGAAACCAGTGTTTGAATCACACCTTATGTGAGAGTGATCCCAGTCTCTTCTACACAGTGAGGCGTACGTTGGATCGATACTCTATTTAATCCCCACATTTACTGTGGAGTTGTGCCTTTTGATCTTTTGGGTTTCCTGATATGAGTAAAACTCAGACCACTAATTAAAAACTTTTTTTCAATAAACTTTCCACTATCTTGTATCAGTGGTACCTTTTTGATTATTGTGGCTACTGGCGGGATATGTCATGTACTGAAGACTCATTTTTGTAATATAAGAGCTAAACAGACTTTTACGATTGTTTGGCCTTGGCGAGGAGGCGGAGGAGGAGGTATCCACTCCACTGAGAAGCCTTAAAGTGATTTATTTGTTAACAAAAAAATTCAAGTTGTGGTAAATCGGTTCATTTTGTTTCACACTGCTTTGACTGTAAAAATGCAAAGGTGCTGAACACTGAACTCAATAGTTGAAACAGACAGCTGAGGTTAAACCACACTGTGGTAAATTATTAAATATTTTCTATGTTATGAAACTGTTTTGAAAATCCCAAGGAGCCGTGAA